ACCACAACCACCGCAACTTGCAACTCCTCATTGGCCCAGCAAACAGTGAATTATGGTGTCCAATACTTAAATGCGAATTTAACACAGCTGAATGCAACCAGTTCAACTTACAATTGCGTCTATGATTTAATTTCAGCAGGTGTGTATAAATACATAAATATACTATAGTATATACATACATATTTTAGAAAACTATTTCAGAAAATTTTCAATTGACCGTTTATTATATCGCTTTTTCAGGCACCACCAATCACACCTACCTCGGTTGCGTCTACAGTACGGTGAACATTTGCAACTTTACACCATGGTCGTATACAGCTCGCCACTGCTTAGTGTGCAACGGTAACAATTGCAATCGCAATCCAGCGGATCGCGCCACTGGCAGCATCTTCACATTGACAGCGGCCATTGTTTTGGCATTTGTGGCAAAAATTATGTACAACTGAGTGGTCTCCAAATATTTTTATTGTTTTTGTAAAATAAATAATTGTTGTTATTAGTATTTATTAGTATATTAAAATATTAAACCAAGTGTCTTAAGATAGATTCTCGTTTTTCAAGTAAAACTGCTTTCGTCGCATGAGGGTGATAGTTAAAGTGTTGCTAAAATGAGTACATGTGTACATCCCTTCTGTAGAGTGATTCAATAAGACCGCATAAGACCGTAAAACACGACAAAATTTATCGAAATAATTTGTTTTTTTTTGGATAATAGCTTCGTCTCCCCAACATTTCCATTAAGTACCAGCAGCGAGAGCGTAAACACAAAATGTAAAGTAAAATTTAGGGGTAGAAAAAATTTTCCAAACTAGTTATTGAACGCAGAACTAGTAAAAACTAGCAGCTTACGCCATACTGGCACTTTGAGATGGCTAAATCTTGCCTGCGAATAATTCCATACATACATACATATCTGTGTTCGTATGGAATAGTACTTAGCTTATGTCGGGAAGTTGGCTTTAGTATAATGCGGCATTCCCCTTTATTCTTTAAACGACAAGGAATTTTTTGAATAAGAATAAGAATATTGACTTGCTAGTATCGGAACTATTTATTGCACGTTTAGTTGCCAAAAGTTCTTCAACGGCTCGGCGCCAGTTAGTCATTCGCAATAGCATGCTTCGAGTGCCGCATTATACTAAAGGCAACCTTTCGACATAAGCTACTATTCCATACAAACACAGATATGTACTCAATGCACGGACTTTGAGAAAATTAATATTGGTAGATTTAACATACGAGTAAGGCTTCCTCAAGTGGGTCCCGAATTTACCAAGATTAATATTTTTCAATGACATTCAGGAAGCGTAATTTTGTAAATTTTGTTGCAAAATTCCAAATAGTTTTTTTTTTTAATCAACAATTGAAAATTTTTGTAGTGTTTTGGAAATTTTTATCTTTCTTTGAAAGTGAGTGTCCGAATGATAAAATTTTTTTGGGTGCACATTTGAAAAACATTAAACTATACAATGATATTATTTGCGTTACAAAAATATTTTTTTTTTGCTTTTCACCAATAACACCAACTTCTGTAATAAAATTTTCTGCATTTATCTATGAGAAAAATTCGTGCATTTCGATATAGATTGGTCGAAATTCGAGTATGAGAAATAAAAGTGGAACCGATTGAAACGTGCATTTCTTTCTTGCGCAAGAAGTCAACGCGGATTGCGCGCGATCCAGCCACGAGAGTCGGACCCGCACGCTGGCAAATAAAAATTCATTCCGACCAAACTATATCGAAATGCACGCATTTTTTCATAGGTAAATGCAGAAATGTTTATTACAGAAGTTGTTTTTAAAAATTTTCGTCCACGAGGTTTTTTTGCTTCTGATTTTTATATTTATCGAACGATACATTGTACTGTAAAGGTCTTGGAGCAGTTAGAGCAGCGTAGAGAATTGAATGCTCTACAAAAAAGGTCTGAAGTCATTTTGCGATAAGTGAACTCGATCAAAAGTTAGATTGTAATACCTTTTTCACTACTATATTTCGATAACAAGTTCTACACAAAAGTCCCAGAGAGGAAGCAGTGGAATGATGTTTTATTTTGCTTGCCGCAGTGCTTACCTGCATTCAATTTCAACGCTTTTCGCTGTGAATTATTCGATAAACAACTTTTGTATTCAACAATAATTCATAGGCACAAATCAAATGCTCTACCTTGTAATTGTTGTAATTTATAATACTTTAATTAGCATATACCGGCAAGGAAACTCTGAAATGCGCGATGCACACGCTTCTCACACACGAATGGCATTTTAATCGCTGAGCAATTGGCCTAAACCAGTTCGCGACCACTGTGTATTAGTGTGTGTTTGTGTGTTAAAAATAATAATGTTTTCGTTTTACAAGATCACCTCACTAACACCTCGAATAATTATAGCGCTGCTTGCAATAGATTTAACTGCGGTGGGCAATAATTATAGGCTAACACCTTGTCATGATTCATATTTCTCTTAAAAAAAATGTATGACCACAAATTGATTCTAATTCCAAGTGACTGGGCGGGTAGATGTTTAGGTAAAAAATGAATATATTCACGAAAATATTGGTAAATTTTAGTAAAAGTGCGTACTTAGTTTTTCTCTCTTACGACAGGATTTCGTTAAAGGACTTTGAAATTTAAAAAATATGATAAATTTAAAAAAGTATTTAAAAAATTCAGTGCAAAGTAGAATAAAAATAATGGTGTCACATAAAAGTAAAATTCTGTAGAATTATAACAGAATAAATTTTTTGGTGCATAAGCACCAATAAGTATGGAAAATGTCCATCTAAAATATTCTTGAAAATTTGCAGTATTTATTTTTGAAAAAATTATTGATTGTGAACTAATATTCACACAATCCTAATCATCGAATTTCGTTATCCAAACTTTTTTAACTTTAAAAGATAAAATTTATTAAACCCGAATTTTCAATACCTATTCGTCCTTATAAGCCAAAAAACTTTATTTTTTTAAATACTACGAAATTTTCTCTCATTTGGTATCCATATTTTTATTCTACACTGTACTGATTTTTTTAAATAATTTTTTGAATTAATCATATCATTAAATTTTTAAGGTTCTTTGAAAAAAATCACGACGTAATAGTGAGAAACTAAAATTGCAGTTTTACTATATTTGGCCCATAGTTTCGTGGCTTTATCGATTCTTTCGTGTGCTTTGAAAGTTTTTTTGTTTTTGTCACAAGGTGTTATTTTATCAATAAATGAGGCGCGATAGCTTTAATTACTGGACTTAAGCTTATTCCCACTATTTGATGATAGTAACAGCCAGTGTTGCCAGATTAAAAATAAACTGTAAATTTCCCGAAAAAACGGGTTTCCATTATTTTAAAATAAATAAATAACATAAACCATTTAAATTATTCTTAAATAAACAAAAATTTAGTTTATAAAAGGGAACATTTAAATCGCATCTTGTTTTATTGATTTCAGTTTCATTATTTTTCGTAAATTTCTTTGTTAATTTTTTTAAGCATTGTACTCTTTTGAACTAACCCAGCCATACGTTTCGGAGAAAACTCAAAAAAACTCTTTTAAAGTTGGAAATAATCTGAACTAAATCTTGTCTCTTAATTTCCTATATTTCTAATTTATTTAAAAAAATACCAGCTCTTGCTTGGCGTTTTTCGTGGTGCTTCCCCTAGTACTGATAAAAATTAGTGGACTTTTATTAATGCGAAATTTTATTGCGCCATAAAGATAACTAATTAATGAAGTTGATGTGCTCCATTAAAATGGTAGTATGTTAACTTAAGTAGCTCCACATATATCGCATGTGATTGTGCTTAAATGATAAGAACTTAGCCAATATGAAACAATTTTTTTTGTTATACTAGCCTATACCGGCGGGTTTCACCCAACGTGCAAAATAGTTTTAAAATGTTATATTTCTGCTCTCATTTCACTATAGCCGTATGATTTTTGTAAACGAGTTAAGGTAGTTAGGTCGTTGAAAGTTATGGAACTAGGTTTATGAACTTGTCTGCCCGGTAGACTTTGTTATGATATTACGAAAGATACCAATCCCTCTAAGCTTCGAGTGGTTCTAGAGATCGACTGCGTGAGCCTTTACATTTTCGGGAGGTGCACCGCACTTGAATACCTCAGCTGGAAGACCGTCAATTCCAGCATAATTGCTACTTTTAGCAGCGAAATTGACCCATTTACCAAAGGAAGGAAATTCAACTTGACTAGACCCACCTCGGCAAGTACAGAAATTGAGTTGAGTTCGGAAAAGGCGTAGTATCTAGTCCCGCAGATTGCATGGTAAAGCCTATTACATATGCGGCACTGCCCCGGTGGCCAAACCAAAGCAAGTAAGTGCGAATGTCACCTTGAGAAAGCTACACCGCTTACTCTGCATGGCCATAACAAAAGAAGTACGCACCTGTCCAACGGATGCCCTTCGTGTGATTAAAGGCAAAGGCTGATCAAAAATGAGGCCTGCTGGAGCGGATTCCCAATATAAGCAACATGAAAATTGGTAGTCTTGGGGTAAATTGAAGGTTCTGAAGCCATTTCTGGATGAACCCGTTGTGAAGCTCACAGATATCTTGCTATCGAAAATATCCTTTAATAATTCCTTAAAGGGACTGCTGTCAAGCGTTAATACCTCTGACAGAAAAAAAGGTCTCAAGTATGGCATACTGACGCATCGAAGATGGACGACGGGAGTACTGGGGCAGACGTACTTTGATCCAGATTCCAGAAAAGTCTGTCAATGGGCTCATGCCCAACCATATTGCAGGCGGAACTCTTCGCAGTCGAAATCTGTGTTCGAGATTGTCTTCATAGAAGGAAAAACAGGGCCAGAATAAATAGTATGTTAGATTATCAGGCAGAATTAAAGGCCTTAGACTCATTTAGAAAGACATCAAGGCAGTTGCAAAACTCTTTAGAACCGGCTAGGAGGCCACCATAGTGAGACGCTGGGATGGGCCCCTGGACATGAAGGATATGAAGCCAACGAAAGGGCTGACTCTCTCGAAAAACGTGCAGTCAAGATGCACATGCATGGTCCCGAGCCTTTCTGCGGCACATCTGCACTGCAGAAATGCTTAGGAGTTAGGAATAATCTTAGATTTCTGCCCACTGGCGGGAGTATTTTTACATATTTTTAATATGTGGCCAATCTATGACTAATTTTAGAGCATTCGTTTTCAAAATGGTTTGGGAACGCCCGACTTTTAGCTATTAGCATCTAATCTATTGCCGCTGTTGTTTGCTTAGATAACGCATGGTATTATCTTTATCTTGGCGTCAAACGGGTTAGCGAGCTACTTGAAATTCGCGATATTTCATAGTAAATTGGTTAGTGCTTCTGTGATCAACTACTTTACGAAAATGAGCGCCGCTAAAATTATAATCACACTAGCAATCATTGGCGTTTGTTGCATTTCGTTTGGTAAGGTTTTTACTATTATTTTTGACCGAATAATTTAAGTGTCTGTTCTTTTTTTTTGATGTTTTTTTTTCAATTAAATATACCG